TGTGTGTGTGTGTGTGTGTGTGTGTGTGTGTGTGTGTGTGTGTGTGTGTGTGTTCTGTTCCTGCAAACACCCGCCCGAGGGCCCCCCAGGCCGCCGGCGGGGCCCCAGCCGGAGAACTCTAGAGCACCCGCGCGTAGAATACTCGTCAGTCTGTTATCTGCCAAGGGGAGGGGTGCCCCCGACGCCGGGGGGTGGGGGGGGGGGGCTGATACGTGGGGAAGGTGCGTTTGCTGGCCTGTTGCCCGAAGAGACCTCCATCCCGGCGCCCCCCCCCCACCCCCCCGCCCCCAGCCCCGACAACTGTTGTTTCTGCCTCCGGCAACCATCGTCCCAGCCAATCTGGAGGTACAGCATGTAATTGCCGAGAATATCAAAACATCTGGCAGACCGGCGCTCTCCGGCAAACGCAAGGCACATTTCCCGATGTGGGCGACAGAGCCCCCACCCCCCTCCCGCCCCCCAGCTCCTGCTGAAGAGAACCGAAAAGGAGCACCGCGCCACGGCTCCACACAGCCAGGACCCCGCCGCTGGCCGGAGGTGGCAGTCGACGCGACGCGCATGCGGAATGGAGTGAGGTGCATTCTTACCTTCGTACACCCGGCGTACGTGTGTGTGTGGGGGGGGGGGGCCGCCGGCCTTATCTGTGGTGTATTGGACACGCGCATAGAGACCCGAGCGGCGGCGCGCAGCACACGCAGGACACAGTGCACATTCATGTGCGCGCGCATACGCGCACACACACACACACCTGAAGTGGCGATGTCTTGGCAGGCGCCCCAGGGGGTTGGGTCATGTGATCAGCGCCTCTGACGCATTCGGCTCCGGAGCGCGGTTCGCAACATCGGCGACTGTGGCTCGGTCAAGCGCCGCCGGCGCGGGGCGACCGGCGGCGGAGGGGGAGGCGCCTGCCAGGCCGAGCGCCGGGGCTGCCATTGTGGATGCAGCTGGGGCTGGCTGTCGTGCACCGGCGCCGGAGCCCAGGATGGCTCCTGCGAGAGGATGGCCACACGGCGGTTGGCCAGCGGGGGCTGGATAGGAGCAGCCGGCGGGGGCTGGATAGGAGCAGCCGGCGGCGGGACACCTGGTGGGGAGATGCTCCGAGGCATGGGGGGGCCCGGCAGGCAAGGGGCCGGGGCAAGGGAGCTGACGCCCGACGGCGAGGGAATTGCGCGCATTGCACCGGCCACCGGCCGGGGGATGTGAGGCGCGGAGTCCGACCCTCGGGCCGAGGTGGCCACCGGCCGCGCCGCCGCGGGAGCAGGTGCTTCCGACCGACCGGCAGCCGGCGGCATCGCAGGTCCCGAAGAGGGGTGTCGGTGCATGCTTGCCCCGGCCGAGTTCTCGGCGGGGGCCGGGCTCCGGCGAGCGCGGCTGGAAGTTTGAAAGTTGAACGCCTTCACACGCACACACACACACACACACACGAGTTCATGGGGCGACGATGGTCAGCACACGAAGGGCCTGCTCGCAACATGGTGCCCCAATGTGGGGCGGGGCCAGACGCCCACATATCATCGCCGCAAGCAGGGGCGGGCTGGATCGTCATATCGCCCGGGGGGAGGGGGGGGGGAAGTACCTTTGGCTGGGTAAGATCGGCCTTTCGGGCCCGGGGGACCCCGGTGGACGCAGGCCGGTAGAAGATCAGCGGGTTGAAGGGGGCCGCGCGGAAGGGCTCCACGGCCGGCGCATCGATCGCCGGGGGCGGCACGCTGCGCACGCGCAGAGGGAAGGACAGGCCGAGATGCATGCAAGAGGTGGTGAGGAGACCGGACAGGAGAAAGGCGAGCGAGAGGGCAACAGGCAGGCCGGCGCGGCCGGGCACGCGATCGCGAGTAGACGAACCTGGTCCGGGTCCGGCGGCGGGTGTGAAGAAGCGGCGACTGGGGCACGGTCACCCGGGTCATTCGACGAATGCCGGTCGGCGAGGCGGGCACTGGCCGCGGGGGAGGACGCGACCGGGCCGCCGGGCTGGCCGCCGTCACGGCGGCCGAGCCTCGACGACCAAAAATCAACGACGCCGAGGGGTCGAAGGCCGAGCGCCCAGGTCGCGGCCGGGGCCGCCGGGGGCTGGCCACCTTGGCTGCGGTGCTGGTGGGGTCCCGTGCGGCGGCCATTCGCGAGGCAGCCGCACATGTCAGCCGCATGTACCCATACACCGGGCCGGGCCCGGTGGCCGGGGGAGGGACAGAGCGTCGGGCCGGCGCCGAGGCTGACACCGGCGCCGACACCGGAGTCGAGGCCGACACCGCCGGTGGCGACCTCACCCGGGGCGGGTAACCCACCGGGGAGGTCTTGATCGGGGGTGAGCGCATGGCCCGAGCCGAGCCGGCTCGAGGGGCCGGAGTGATGGCCGGCCCGGATTCGGGGGCCGAGCCGGGCCCTGGCGCGGGGGTTGGCCGGGAAGCGGGGCCCGGCGTCCTTTGCGAGGCCAAAATCGAAGTCCCTCGAGCAGGCGGGACCGGGCTCGGTCGCGCAGCCGGGGCCGGCGTTTCCCGAGGGGTAGGCGTGAAGAAGGGCCGAGAAAGGGAGGTCGATCTGGACGCCGCGGCCAGCTGGGGAGATTGCTTGATGACTGGATCGGGAGAGGCGGAAGCCGGCGCCAGGCCCGGCGAAAAGAGCATCCCGCCCAGAGGCAAGTGGGGGCTAACACCACCACCAGCGGGGAAGAGGGGCTCCGACTTGATGGGCGCCGGCGAGCCATGCAGGGAGGCCGAGGCCTCCAAGCGGGGCGATTGCAGGGGCGTGCCGCCCGAAGGCGAGGACCCCGCCGCCCAGGGGCCCGGCTCCGGGGCCGAGGCATCGATCTCGGCGAAGAGCAAATCCGAGTCGTCAAGACGCACGCGCTTCGGCGAAGGGACAACCGCATCATCGGAAGACCGAGACCGAGACCGAGACCGAGGACTGGCCGGGATGCCCAAGCCCGATGACGACCGATGTGCCGTGAGGCCGGCCGCAAAATCCAGCCCCAGATGCCGGCTCAAGCTGGCGCCGAGCAGGTCGGTCGGGACGGTGGCCCGCATGGATGGCGGGCCGCGACCGGCCGACGGCAAGAGAGCCCGCCCGAGGAGGGACATGCTCTCAATTGGAGGGGCAGGAGCTGTGAAAGTCGGCACGGCGGGCAACAGCGCCACAGGGTGGGGTCCATCGGCTGCGGCGACCATTGGCGCGGATGCCTCCGGCGACATGGATCGGGGGGCGGATGCCGGGATGGCGGATGGGGACGCCGCAACCGAGGCCCCGGCTGTGGCGGCAGCAGGCATGGCAGCCGCGCCGGACACCGGCAAGGCCGCTGTGGCCACCGACACCGGCGCTGCCACTGACGAGGAGGCATTTGCCCGGGGTGGTCCATCCAAAGACACCGGAGGATCGGACATGAATGAGTCGCCCGGAGGAGCCGCGGAGACGGCGGCCACAGGGCCAGCCAGCGGCCGGGGTGCGGTGAACGTCGGCGGAACGGGCGGCTTTGCTCGCAGGGTGGGCAGCCCTGCGATTGGCGACAAATTCGACAGGATTTCGATCGATGTGGGCGGCAAGCGCACGGCCGTCGGCCGTGCCACCGGCTCGGGCCCGGAACCGACCCGAGACGGGCTCCGCTCCCGAGTGTCGCCACTGAGATCCAATTCGCCGCTGCTCAAGTCCAAGTCCTCCGGGCGAAGGACACTGAGCCGACGCGCGACCGGGACAGCCGCCGGCCCACCGGCGCCAGCACGGTCGACACTCTCAGAGCCAATAGAAGCACCGATGGCAGTAGCAGAAGCAGCAGCAGCAGCAGCAGGAGCGCTGGCAGAAATCCTGGCCATGGTAGCGGCGGCGGAAGCGTCAATGGACTCCATGAGGGGGGTCGTGGTGGCGGTGGCCGTGGTGGCGGCCGGAGTGACCAACGACAGCGACCGGTCAGCCAGCGTCGGGACCACCTGCGGCGACTGTTTGAAAAGCGGCTCGGCGGCGGGGGATGCCAGCGGTGGGCGCTGGCGCAAGTCCGCCATCCAGCCGCCCAGCCCTCGAGTGAATGTGTCCGGCGAGGGGCACAGGTCGTCATCGCGGAGGCGTGAACTCCCGCTCAGGTCCGAGTAGAGCATGCTCTCCCCCAAGAGGGGGATGCTGATCGGCGATAGGGAGGGCATTGTCGGGAAGCTGGTCCCCCGGCCCGATGAGGGGGCCAGCTGGCCTGAGGGGGTGGTCGGCCGCGGGGGCATTACCACCGAGCTCACAGAGACCGCAGACGCCGCCGGGCCCGGCGGCAGGGGCGACCCTTCATCCAGATCCAGATCCATCGACGAGAGGAGGGAGGCCGACCGACCGGGCGGTTGGCGCTCATGAGTGGCTGGGGACCGGTGCCGATCCAGGTCCTCGCGCCAGGACCACGACCACGAGCGCTGAAGAGGGTTCCCCGTGGTCAGGGCCGCGACCGGGGCCGCCGGAGCCCCGGAGGCCGAGACGGAGGCGGAGGCTCGAGCTGGGGCCGGGCTGACCGCCGACACCGCCATAGCGGCCGCCCCCGCGGCTGGCAGCTTCAAAATCGGCGCCATTTGCCGAGACAAGGATGCCCCGGCGGAAAAGGGGTCCACGCGGCCCGCATCGCCAGTGGCCTCGGGGCCCTGGACACGCATCGAGGCAATCAGCGGCGAAGTGAGGAAGAGTCGGCTGGAGCCTGCCTGGAAGGCATCAGGAGTGACCGCCGTTGTTGCTGCTGGTGCTGCTGCTGCTGCTGCTGCTGTTCCTGTTGTCGTTGTCCTTGTTGGCATCGCCACCTCTGGCAATGGGATATCCAGGGGGGCGTCGTGCTCTGGCGGCTCCTCGGCCCGGCTGAGGGACATCCGCCCCTGGGGGGAGGCAAAGACACGCGCATGCGAAGGAGACGGCAAATACCGCGACGCCGAGGAGACACCATCCGGTGCCCGGTGATTAGACGCCGGCACCGGCGCCGGGGATCCACCAGTCCACCGGCTGGCGGGCGGGGCCGGCTCGGGGGTGGTGGCTCTTGCCCGAGGGACGCCCTGCTTATCGGTTAGGCTAAGCCCCGGAGAAAAGAGGGATGTTGACTGACGCAAGCTCGCGGTCGGCTTCGACCACAAAGAGGTGGCCAAGGGCAGGGCATCAGGGGCTGCGACATTCAGGTCCAGTGGTAGGGTGTCCGGCGAATGATTCGGTGGCTGGATGGCCCTGGATGCCACGGCGCCCTGGCCGCCGAAGCCCGATTGCTCCAGGGAAAAGCGTGAACTTTCCAGCGAGACCTGGCCACTGGCCAAAGCCGAACTCTCCAACGTCAAACGCGCCCCGGCAACCGACACGCGAGACGCCCCCAGGGAGAGGTGCGGCCCGTGGGCAGCCGACCGGGGCATTGGCGGCCTGCCATCCTCCGGGTGAATGTGGATTGTAACCGAGGAGCCAAAGTGCTGGTGCGTGGCCGCCACGAGGGACGAGTTGTCCGTATGCTGCGAGAGGGACAACGTCTCGCGATCGCCGAAGGACCGCAATTCAATCGAACAGCTGCCCGACGGGCCAACGGAGATGGAAAAGTGCGGCCGACCCGGGGCACCGGCTTGAGCAGGTGCGGCGGGGACAACTCTGAGGATGGGCTCAGAGTGAGGCTCCGGCCCGGGCAAGGGCTCGGGCAAGGGCTCGGGCAAGGGCTCGGGCAAGGGCTCAGATTCAGGCTCCGGCTCCGGCTCCGGCTCCGGCTCCGGCTCATGCTCATGCTCATGCCCATGCCCATGCTCGTGCTCGTGCTCGTGCTCGTGCTCGTGCTCGTGCTCATGCTCGTGCTCGTGCTCGTGCTCATGCTCATGCTCATGCTCATGCTCATGCTTGTGCTCATGCTTGTGCTCATGCTTGTGCTCATGCTTGTGCTCATGCTCAGGTTCAGACTTCGGCTCCGGCTCAGGTTCAAACATAGGCGCATGTGCCACAGCCAGCTCTGACACCTGCTCCTTGTGCAGAGATAAAGACATGGTGCGTCCTGCTGGGCGAATGGGCGGCGATGGCGGCTGCCCAGCCACGCGCCAGGGATCCGTCGGGCTCGTTGGAGATGTCTCGGCAGGTACATGCGCCACAGGCCCGGTGCTCGGTGAAAATGCGTCGGCCGATTGCCAGTGACTGGCCGGGATGGCTGGCTCCGTTGGACTGGACGACTGGATCTTGATCGAAAGCCGATTGGCTTCGCCAGGCGCACGGCCGGAGTGGTCGGTCGCGCCGAGAGGCTCACCCAGAGTGAACGACCCGATCGAGTCAAGGGGGGCGGCCAGGGGGATGGCCTCGGCCAGATCCGGGGACTCCATCGGGCTGAAGGGCTCCACTTGGCTCAAAGGCTCGGGTGCATTCAAAGGCCGAAGTTCATTGAGAGAATCCGTCTCGTTGAATGGCCCCGCCTTGGCAGGTGCCCCAGCCTCATGGAAGGGCCGCGCTCGGGCGATCGGCTCCGGCACGTTGGCAGACGAATCACTCAGCAAAAGAGACTTTGTCAAGTGAAAGCGACTGCTGGCCGGACTCTCGACGGCTTTCGGGGGACCATTTGCACGCATCCAGTCGGCGTCGTGGCCATCCGATAGAGACAGAGCCCTGCTTGTGTCGGGCTCCGGCCCAGACAGGCCGGCTGCCGCCGCCGGGGCCTCCGAGTCGGGCACATCCAACTCATGTAGGGCCAGGGGCGCGGCATCGGCCAGGACCGAGGCACCCCGCCGATGGATGTGGACCGGTCGAAGCTGCAGGAGCAAGCTCGACTCGCGGTTCGCCATGTCCACCGCCACCGGAGAGGAGAGGCTGGCCTGGAACCAGGGGCTGGAGGATTTTTGCGACAGCGGCGAAAAGGGCGGCGCATGGCGACCCTCATCATCGCCATCCCCATGGACGACCCTGTCGCCGGACCAACTAGAAAGCCGGCCACTCGGCGAGTGGTATTGCTGGATTGTTGATGGGGCTACCGAGTCCCTCGCCGGGCCAAAGTCCATCGGCGTGTAGAACAAACTTCCCGGGGTAAAGGGCAGGCCGGCCGCGGCGCCGATTGGCGTGGAAAACACCTCTCGCGAAGAAATCCCGGCCACCGAGCCGGTCGTCGCGCCGTGCGCCGATCCATCCAGCCGACGTGACTGCGGCGACATCGGGCCAACATCCAGGAACACGGCGTCCGGCGCGGGCCGGGACTCTGACATAGCACCACGCGTCCTAGCGGCGCCCGAGGTGGGATGGGGGGAAAGAGAGAGAGAGAGAGAGAAAAGTGGGGAGGAGATACCAAGGAGCCGAAGGGGCAGGGCAGGGACAGGGAGACCGAGTAAAGGAGAAAGGAGAGGGAGGGACGGGGGGGAGGAGGATATGGAGGCGAGGGGGACGGATCGATGCCAGGAAGCCCGCTGGCTCGGACCGAGAGCGGGACGACCAGAAAAAAAGAGGCCACCTCCAAGTTGGAGTTTAAATTGCGCGGCGGTTATCGAGCTGCCTTGTAGCAGGGTTCACACGGGTTAAGCCTAAGTCAAGTGAGTGAGGCTTGACGAAGGG